TAAAGTTTTTTGTAATGTGAATTTCTAACTTATTATGAGTACATAGTAGGATAACTTTATTTGGTATATGTGTTCCTTGCATCGCCTGCATGTCCGTCAGACAGGGTCACCTGACCCCGACCTCATTTCATGGATCAGGCACAAGGTTAAAGTTACATGACTAGGTCCGTTTCTCAGATACAATAACCAGTATGTCAACTATATGTGGTGTATGGAATGATTGTAATGGGTACATGTCAGTCTGTTAGGTTTAATCTGACTTTGACCTCATTTTCATGGTTCATTGGTCAATGTTAGGTTTTTGTGTTTTGGTTTGTTTTTCAAGCACTAAAAGCAATAGATCAACTATATTTGGTAAATAGAATGCATGTAAGGTGTTCATGTCGGTCTTGTCGGTATCATCTGACCTTGACCTCATTTTCATGGTTCATTGGTCAATGTTAGGTTTTTGTGTTTTGGTTGGTTTTCCAAATACTAATAGCAATAGGTCAGCTATGTTTGGTGTAAGGGAAAAATTTTAAGGTGTAAATGTCTGTCTGACAGGTATTATCTGACCTTGACCTCATTTTCATGACTCATTGGTCAATGATTAGCTTTCGTAATTTTGCCAGTTATCAGATACTATAAGCAACAGGTCAACTATATTTGGTGTATGAAATGATTGTAAGGTGTACATGTCTGTCTGGCCTGGTACATCTGACCATGACCTCATTATCATAGAACATTAATAATGTTAAGTTTGTGTGAAACTTGTAGTAAAACCTTCATGTTACAGACTTTCAACATAAATTTAGTGAGACAGGCGAGGCATATCAGCGTGTGCACTCTTGTCCAATCTATCAATTTATTTGAATAATTTAGGTGAGCATATTAATTTGAAAGCTAATGCCCCTTTCACGAAACCAATTTTAATGCACCAAATGCACATTTCGACAATTATTGTCTCTTCAGTGATTCTCGAACCATAAACCTTAGATTATCCCAAATTTTATACAAACATTGACAAGCTGATATACATTCCTTTATGTTTTACAAAATTATACAACAGCAAATATCAAATCAAACAATATTTGTATTTACATACCAATACCAAAGTACTGGCTACTGGGTTGGTGATACTGACTGTCCACCAGCATGGTATGAAAGTATCAATTATTGATGATCAGCACATTTAACCATAAAATAACACCATAAGATGACAATACCGAATTTAATATTGGCAGGTAGGACCAATCACCCTTTAAATTATTTTAAGTAAGGGCTACTATAAGCAAATCTTCAATCTTACTGAAATTCACAGTATGCAAGTTTCATATGCGCACTTGCTAACAATATTATACCATATTCAATCTGAGTACGTTACCAAACTTTATGTGCATATAATGATTTTTTTTAAATATTTGGTAGATTTTAGCAACTTTGGAGTAATTCTCCCAAAGTGAATCAGAAATGATAAAAATGTGTATAACACTTAATAAATTTTAAGCGTCTGGAGCGCTTTTCTGGATTTACCTTCACCGGAGCAAATATTTGAAAGCCAAGTAAGTATAATAACTGAAACACGTGAAGATCAAAAGGGACCTAAAAACTTACATCCAAATCTATCTTAGGTCAACTTTGATTGAGAGACTTGATCATAGGACTTTGCCTAATAGAGTTTAAGGAAAGTAATTAATTCATAAGTGTATAAGATGTCTTAATTTCAAATTTTGCGACGAAGTCTAAAAACTCTTACCTAATTATATATATATAACACAATTAAAGGATGCAAATAACCCCTTAATTATTTTATGGAAGAGCTATTATAATAAAAAATGTCAACCTTTACTAAATTTCACAGTATGCAAGCTTCGTATGTGTACTTTAGATTCTAGCAATATTATATCGTAATCAGTCTAAGTATGTTACCAAATTTGATGTGTATATAATGATTTTTATGCCCCCGCCGTAGCGGAGGGGGCATTAAGTTTTACCCTTGTCCGTCTGTACGTCCGTCCGTACGTCCGTACGTCCCAAAGTTGGTTTCCGTTCTCTAAATGTTATGAAACTTATACACAATGCTTATTACCACTAAATACAGATCAAGTTTGAATTTTGGTGGCGTCACTTTTACCCGTTCTAGATTTATGCCCCTTTACAAATGGAAAAATTGCTAAATTTTTCGTTTCCGTTCTCTAACCTAAGTTTGCCTCAACCAAATGTTATGAATCGTATACACAATGCTTATTACCACAATATACAGATCAAGTTTGAATTTTGGTGCCGTCACTTTTACTGTTCTAGAGTTATGCCCTTTACAAATGGAAAAATTACTGAATTTTTCAAATTTTTTTTTCTAAATATCAAGTACTTTTAAAATTGGAGTGATCTTTCTTTGTCCATGATTATAGTTGAATCAACTACAATCAATGCTTTATACAATGCAATGTTTAATTTTACCTTCCACTGATAAATTAAAGTAATTTTTACTCTTTATTTCTAAAAAATATTTTAAAGTCTTTGAAAATTGGAGTTATCTTTCTTTGTGCATAATGGTAGTTGAATCAACTACAACCAATGCTTTATACAATGCAATATTCAATTTTACTTCCTACTGATAAATTAAAGCAATCTTTACCATTCAGTGCTTACAGGCACTTTGATTACTGTTCTAGAGTTATGCCCATTTACAAATGAAAAAATTGCTGAATTTTTCGTTTCCGTTCTCTAACTTGAGTTTGTCTTAGATTAATGTAATGCAATGTATATATAATGCTTTTTACCACAAAACTCAGTTTAATTTTTTGTTTCCGTTTTCTAACTTTAGTTTGCCTAGGCCAAATGTTATGAAACTTATACACAATGCGTATAACTACATAATACAGATTAAGTACGAAATTTGGTGGCGACACTTTTACCATTCTTGAGTTATGTTCCTTTATAAACATAAAAATTGCTGAATTTTTCGTTTCCGTTCTCTAACGATAGTTTGTCTCAACCAAATGTTATAAAACTTATACACAACCGTTCTAGAGTTATGCGTATTTACAAATAGAAAAATTGCTGAATTTTTAGTTTCTGTTCTCTTCTTAAGTAAGCCTCAACCAAATGTTATGAGACTTACACACAATGATTATTACCACAAAACTCAGATCAAGTTCAAATTTGGGTAGTGTCACTTTTACCGTTCTTCAGTTATGTCCCTTTATAACTATATGATATGCAAGCGGGGGCATCATCTGTGTCCACATGTGGACACTATCCACATTTATCTTCTTTTTATGTTTTATTTTTAATATTTAGTAGATTTTAACAACTTTAGAGTAACGATTAAAAAATATATCAGAAATAACAAAAATATCTTGAAATGGACAACAACACTTCATAAATTGTACGCGTCCAAAACGCCTTTTATGAATTAACTTTCATCATCAGGAACGCTCAAAAAGAGAGGCGAAAGATACCAAAGGGACATTTAAACTCATTAGTCGAAAATAAACTGACAACGCCATTAGAGAAAAAAAGACCAAAAGACAAACAATTGTTACAATACACAACATAGAAAACTAAAGACAGAGCAACACGAACCCAACAAATACCGAGGGTAATCTCAGGTAATTCGAAAGTGTAAGCAGAACTTGCTGAACATGTGGCACCCGTCGTGTTGCTCAAGTACAAGTCTAATTCGGTAGGTCACATTCTGGGAAAAGAGGACGGGATTGTGGTTACGACAATTGGAACACATTCGTCGTCATCTGTGAAACAGATATTCCATAATGGTCAACCAACTCGTGATGGCGTCCATAAATTTTTCAAAGGGATGATTTCAACTTCACCACTTGATTGAATTAATATGTTCATTGTGAGCAGCAACCCTCTATCAAGAAAATGATGACAGAAAATGTAGGCTCTGTGATAAATGGGAGATATATACTCCATATGCAGGCGCTGGAATGTTGCTACATGAGAATGGAAAGTTCACAATTGGGAAGCTGAAATCACCTCTTTTGTCGTACAGTTTTGTTTTCAGCCGACCCTCATTGTCAATTTTTAGATGTAAGTCAAGATATAAGGCAGACTTAACTGTATCTGTTGTATCCTTTATCTCAAGTTCGATGGGAAAGATACGTTCAACATAGTCACCAAACTTTGAATTATTTAGTGAGATGACATCTATAAAGCGGAAAGGGAAGTTAAAGGATAATGCTAACTTCTTTTCTTTTTTCCCTAAGAAGCTTCTGTATGAAGTCAGCCTCATATGCATAAAGGAACAAATCGGCAAGAAGAGGAGCACAGTTTGTTCCCATGGGAATGGCGATTGTTTGTTGAAAAATACTTACTCTAAACAAATATGTTGTCAATCAAGAAATCAAGAAATGAAGCATTTTGATAATGTCAGTATTAAATAAGTATCAAAAGTATCACCAGATCTATATAAGGCCAACTTGTCTGATGGAGCAAGAACGCAAGAAATTAGTTAATAATGAAAATAAGGATGTTGTCTTTCAATTAAAAATTTTGCAACAATGTATCAAAACTTTAAACTAACACAATTCAAGCATGACAAAACAGAATTTATGTTAGCGGTATTATAAAAAAAAATCTTTATTTAATCAAATCCACAGTATGCAAGAGTTGTATGTGTACTTTCAGATTCTAACAATAGCATACCATATATAGTCTAAGTATGTCACAAAAGTTTATGTGTCTGTACTTATTTTTTTTTAAATCTGAAAATTTGAGACAGTGTATCAATACTCTCCAACAAAGAACTTCAGCGCTATATAACATTTAAACCCGTACGTAGATGTGTAAAGTTATTGTATATGTTTTAGACACTTCAGTGTTTAAATTGTAGGGTTTAACCTTTTTGTTTATTTTGACCCTTTGAATCAAATAGAATCGAGGTATATATATCCTACCTTTTTAACATCTTCGATTTTATCTTGTAAATTTCCCAGAATCAATACCGAAGTAAGATCAAATAAACTATACTGTGTCAACAAAAAATACTCGAAATATGAATTTCTAAATTTATTTATATGATCGTTCATCAGACAAACGACTACGAATCAATATTTTCAAAGAACATTAACAAAACAGACGATTTGGTAAATTAAAAAGTATCGAAAACAAGGAAAGGCGAGTCTTATAAATTATTTATAATTACAGTTAATTATGGTTTATAGTTATGTTTTTCTTTTCATGTTATATCGAACTTCAATCGATTTCGCACAGTACAACTGTTTCTGAATCATAACATGCAACAACAAACATATTGTTGTTAAGAGCAAAACGAATTACCCATGGCCTCTTAATTCCTAAAGGTTCTACCGGAATTATACGTATCAATTTCCCATCATTAGTAATTTGGTGAATGTTCTTAGATCTATATCCAGCAACATAGATATTGCCTTCAAAGCCTATTCCGATTCCACGCGGGGAGGACAACTGTTCATTTGTATACGTAAACTTGGTTGTGTCCCCTATTACACGTGACACGGAATTATCTCCATCTCCATATATACAATCTTTCATATCCGATGTCGAAACGTAATACGAATCGCCACCTGTTGTTTTCTGTTTCACTATCTCCCCTGATGAGTTTCCCCATGTCAATGGGGAACCACAGGTTACAATAAATGTGTTCCCTTCGAAACAACATATTCCAGATACTGTTATACCTGGTAAATCCAAAGTTCGTAATAATGTCATTCCTGTAATGTCAACAAACACAAATTTGTTCTTTCCATAAATCGAAATAACAGCTTTAGTCTGAGCAACTTGTGCGATATCCCGTGGATAGTTTTCTACACCTAACGATTCTACAAGTTTACCATCTAGGTTGTATTTCGCAACACTACTTTTGACATAGCTAGTTATAACTAGGTAATCGGCAATGAATATTGCACTAGTTTCACCCTTTTCAGCGGCTTTAATTGTATACAAAATTTTAATGCCGCCGCTGTGAAAATTAACCCTTTGTATGAGACTCCCAACAGACAGCGTACACGGAAACTCATCTTCTATTATACATGTTATATTTACGCAACCAAACGATTCTACGCCAGTTTTAAAATTCTCAATAACTTCCGACGGGATAACCTTAATAGTCAGGTTCTTCATCTTTTTCATATCTTCTTTTATTTCTTTTTCCAGTATAGCCATTTTTGGACCAATCTTGTTGACTTCTATAAAACAGTGTTGGTCAGATCCATGTTCTACAGATCCGGTTAGGACTAATTGCCAATTTCTTAAGGTACTTTTATAACCCGAAAAAGTATTATCTTCATCGGTTAATTGCATGACGACACGTTTTTTAGAAGAATTCAGTTCGACCTTTATTTTGTTTTCTAATTTGTCTAAATGGCCTATTATTTCCCTTTTCAACGTGGACATTTCTTGAATAATGTTTTCAGAGGTGGTTTCTATCTTAGACAAACAGTCTTTTCGATTTTCAAGTATTTCATCAATTTCTTTATTTCTTACGTCAAGTGTTTTACCCAAATTAGTTGTGTGTTTAGATTCTTTTATTCCTGTCGCGACATTTTCGATTGAAGTAACATTTTCACATTTGCGATGTGAAAGGGTTGCACATAAAGTGCAGCATGGCTTTGAATGGTCCATGCAATAAACCTCCACAATCTTTTCAGGATGTTCCTCGCAGCTTAGGACACCAGATATTTTGAAATCGGAATTTCCTGATTGAATTTCTTTGATTGAAACGAGTTTATGTTTAGCGGAAAATTTAAAAGATTTGTGACATTCATCGCATTTTTCAAAAAATGCCTCTTCACAAATAGTACACCAAGATATTGCCTCTTGTGTCTTATTGTTAACCTGACAGGAGTTGCACAACTTTTTAGACATATGAATTGCTCACTTATCTAACATTGACATCACAAAATAATTCGTCGGTAATGTGGATGCCCATGTTTCTGGTTTTTCTGCCGTTTTGCTGTATGAAACAATTTTGCGACAAACCGGGCATTTGAATGCCTCGGATTCCTTTTCTTTTTGTGTAGACGATACAATGTGAGTTTGTATACACGCTTCACAGAAAGTATGGAGACATGGCAAGTATTTCGGAAATTTGAAAGTTTCCAGACAAATTGTACACATTAATAAATCATCAAAATGTTCCAAATCTTTTGAAGATGTCGCCATTTTAGACATTGGACTTTATCCTTCCTGGTTACCTATTTATTAGTTACAGACATTAAAAGGTTATATATTGCGTCGATAACTTAAATAGTATTTTTTAAATTGTACGTAATGGATCGTTCTATTTAATTTTCCATTAAACTATGTTGTTACCTGGGTGGCCGACCGACCTAATACATTATATATGGTAGATATATTTTTGTTCTCAAAAGTATCGAAAAACAATTCAAATTTTGGGGTACATTTGTTATTTAGCTCATTTACAGTAAATTAAGGCCGAGATCTCGTATACAAAAATATCATAGCAAACTCCATAATCCAAGCTTTCGGAGTAGTATTAACAGCTACACAGAGGAACAAGTGATCAGTATGCTGGAGTTTCTCATTGATAACATATTTGTTGAATTTGGAGGTATTCTTATGGGAATGAACTGTGCGCCTCTCCTTGCCTACCTCTTCTTGTTTTCATATGAGTCGGAGTTTCTTCAGACACTTGTCAAAAACAAGAAGACCAAAGAAGCCAGATCATTTAATTTCACATTCAGATATATTGATGACGTTCTTTCGATTAACAATCCAAAATTTTCTGATTGGGTTCCATTAATATATCCTCCAGATTTAGAAATTAAAGAAACAACAGACACGGCTTCCTACGCCTCATTTTTAGACTTATATCTCGAATTTGACATGAGCGGTCATCTCAGTACTAGAATCTATGACAAACGAGACGATTTTAATTTTCAAATTATCAATTTCTCCCACCTTATATAGATATCAGAAGATGTGGTATGAGTGCAAATGAGACAACTCTCCATCCAAGTCACAATTTATAAAAGTAAACCATTATAGGTCAAAGTACGGTCTTCAACACGGAGCCTTGGATCACACCGCACAGCAAGCTATAAAGGGCCCCAAATATTACTAGTGTAAAACCATTCAAACGGGAAAACCAACGGTCTAATCTATATAAAAAACGAGAAACACTTATGAACCACATCAACAAACGACAACTACTGAACATCAGATTCCTGACTTAGGACAGGTGCAAACAATTGCAGCGGGTTTAAACGTTTTAATGGTACCAAACCTTCACCCTTATCTGAAACTATAGTGTAACATCACAACATAGAAAGACACACTATAAAATATCAATTGAAATGGCTTAACTCAATTAAAAGACATATTAACACAAGTGAACATACACTGAACGAATAAATTTGATCTATGATACAATGTAAATACTAAATCAATAAAATAGGGGATGAATAATTAAAGTAACAGTATTATACCGCTGTGGAATGTTAAACGATTTCAGAAAAACAACAATAACCTTAAACAAAAATCCGCCATTTACAATAATATTATACACAGGTAAATGAAAATAATTTTGTTGTTAGGTATACAGTTTAAAAGGAGAAAGGAAATATTTTTACAAAATAAATAATTTTGATGTTCATAGTTCGAAGAAGTGAAAATTTATAGTAATACCAAACACTTATCAAAGCTGGTATATAGACCAGATATAACCCTGAATAAGTAAACATAACATAAAAAGCATTACAAATAGTATCAATAGGTCAAATTAACAAGAAAGTACGATTTGAGAGTACTCGCAGTTACTGACAGCTAGTTAAAGCCAAACACAATTAATAATAAAAAATCATGCATCAGAGACTTAAATCAACTAAAACACATCCCAGGGATTTAGTATTTTAACGTCATGGACAGTCAAAGAAGACATGACTTGTGCAATGCCAAAAACTAATGTATCGACAAGCAGTAGGATAGTTAGGAGTTAACCTTTTAATAGATAAAAATGAACGTGGGTGTGTCTTTATACATCCCGTTTGAAAAGAATACAAATTTACAGTTTTAATTTGCTGATGACAAAATCGATATTGGTGCCAATGTAAACCATATTCAAAGATCTAATTACAACATTGGTAAGATAACCTTTACTAATAAGTTTGTTTAAAGGTTCGATGAGTTTATACGGATCACATAGTGATTTCCGCGCTTTTAGTACAATATTAACGTAACATTTAGGATGTGAAATACCGTTTTTAATAAGTTTTCAGCCAAATTTACTAATCAAATCTTTGTATCTATGAAAGAATTTAGTAAAAGTTTTAAGTTATTTAGGTAACGAAATCCCTGACTTAATAATTTACCAGTGATGCATTGATTACGTTCGTTAAAATCTATGACATCACTACACACATTGGCATAACGAATGAGTTGGGATATATAAACACCGTATGATGGAGCCAAAGGAACATCGCCGTCTAAAAAAGGAAAATTAACAATAGGGAATGAAAAATCGTCTCTTTTGTCGTAAATTTTAGTATGGAGTTTCCCTTTAGAAATTGAAATGTCTAAATCTAGAAAAGGACAACTACTGCTGTTTATGTTAGATTTAGTTAAAGTAAGTTCTTTTGGGTAAATTTCGGTAGTATATTTAGAGAATTCTGGATTATTTAACGAAAAAATATCATCAAGATAACGGTAGGTATTGTTGAATGTATCAACCAAATGTAACAATGACGTGGCTTTACTGAGTTTGGTCATAAACTGAGATTTATAGCAATACAGGAATAAATCTGCTATGAAAGGGGCGCTGTTAGTGCCCATAGGAATACCTACTACCTGTCGATACACTTTATCGCCGAAACGTACATATATGTTGTCCAGGAGAAAATTTAAAGCTTCAATCATATCTTCACATTTCCAGTAAGTGTATCTAGCATACTTTACTTTTTCGTTACAGAGAAAGGCTTTAAACGAGTTACAGCAGATAAATTTGCAATGAGATTTTTCAAAAGACCATTTAATTAAATATGAAAACTTTTTCTTGATAAAATTGTGTGGAAGTGTAGTGTAGAGAGTAGAAAAATCATAACTGTCAACAGAATTAAAAGGACCATCAAAGGCACGTATTTTATCCAAAACCTCTAAAGAATTTTTAACACTCCAAAAATAATTAATACCATTATTTTCATAAGCTTTATTACAAAAGTTAATAACAAGTTCTTTGATAGTAGTAAGGGAGGTAGTTAGAAGCACTGATAGATTTGTAGTAGAACACTTACTAGATGCGGAGATGAAACGGAATATACATGGTTTTTTGTGCAATTTAGGTAACCAGTACATAGTAGGGACTTTCAAATGTTCGGAAGAGGCTTTAAGCTGGGTAGTGGCAGTGATATGATTGTTTACAATTAGTAGTAATATACCAACTTCACCTGCATATGGGATATACATTTCCCAACTAATTCGGTATTCAGGAGCTTGCAGCTGCTACTCAGACTTTATAAAATGTCACCAGTGTCTGAGCAAAACGTTGATGAACCAGGGTTATGTCATAGAACATCTCATCATCCTTTTTCTAAAAAAAGTTCATCGGAAGAAACCAAGACCTTGTTGATAAATATTCAACTTCACAAATAATACATGATGGTCTTGAAGTATAAATTCTAGGTACTGACGTTGTTTATCATCTTAATTATGTGTTATAGGGTTCTTTTATTTGTCTTTGATAATTATTTACCTTTACTGTTTAGTCTATTTTTGGTAATTTCCTTTTGGCGTGGCTCGGAATTTATACATCTTGTCATTGTGTTATTGTGATATGGTAATGTATTCTTGTTTTTCATTGTTGCTTATGTGCTATGTCTGTATGTCATTTTGTTCTTCTTTTTGACATATTTGATTGATTCTATAATGATTAAGATTATAACACAATTTTTACTGCTGTACCCCCATTTTTGACATTTTTACCTATTATGTTTGTTTTTTTTTGTTCACATATTGTTGTCAATATAATGGAATTTTATGCGACTGTCATACACGTGAGAGATTTAGCTAGCTATAAAACCGGGTTTAATCCACCATTTTCTACATAAAGAAATGCCTGTTCCAAGTCAGGAATATGACGGTTGTTTTCCATTCGTTTGATGCGTTTGAGCTTTTTATTTTGCCATTTGATAAGGGACTTTCCATTTTGAATTTTCCTTGGAGTTCGGTATTTTTGTTATTTTACTTTTTAAAACTCGAATTCTTGAATTCGTTTTAATTTATTAACGAACATTGTTAACCCATATTAAATACAATGTCAAATAACGGGATCGTTCGTTGTTACCAGGAATTCATTATCTGAAATCTATTTTTCATTAAAATGATTGCAATTATTCGATGTCAAGAATTAGGTAAACAGACAGAATTGTCGGTCCGTCCTAGAATTTGGTGCGTGTTCGAAGTGAGGAGATTGCTCAAAATAGGAACTTCTGTTAGAGTTTTTATAACTACGTTTAACTAAATCTGATCATTTTCATTGACACCCGACGAATACGATCCTGCACACCTGTGCCAAAAAGGATTTGTATTTCTTCACTACTTGAATGAAAAAGGCTGTACGCTGGTTCAGTGTACTAAATTTTATCGAAATAACAGAATTATAAGGTATATTTCCCTGTGTTTTAAAAAAATCCTATTGTGTTTAATTCCAAATTCTGACATTCAGATAGAGTACGGATTAATATTGCAGGTGATGTATGCATATTACACCACTGTCCCAGGTTAGGGGTAGGGTTGGCGCGCCTTCAAACTAGTTTAACCCCGCCATATTCTGTATGTGCCTGTCCCTAGTCAGGAGCCTGTAATTCAGTGGTTGTCGTTTGTTGCTGTATATCATATTTGTTTTTTGTTCATTATTTTGTACATAAATCAGGCCGTTAGTTTTCTTGTTTGAATTGTTTACATTTGTTTACATTTGTCTTTTCTGGGCCTTTTAAAGCTGACTATGAGGTATGGGTTTTACTCATTGTTAAAGGTCGTACGGTGACCTATATTT